CTGTCTGAGCATCACCCGTGGTCTGTTTCTCTCTAATCCCCCCTGCAAGGACACTGCCCAGCCTCCAGCCCATTTGTGTGCCGCCACCTCCGTGAGACCACCTCACCCCTTCCCAACACCCCTGTCGGAATCAAATGACATTTTATACATAACAGCACCCTGCGCAGCATGGGCTGGCACACAGCAGATGCTCAGCACACGTGTCTGTCAAGCGGATAGTAGGTGTTCAATAAATACGTGAATTAAGCCACCTAAAACATTTCACCTCTTCATAGGAGGCTATGGAGAGAAATGGAAATGGATGGGCCCATGGCCAGGCCTGAGTTGGCCGCCCCGCTCTGCTACTCTGAGGGGCTTTGGACAAGGAAGGACCTTGCTCGCTCTGGAGCTCAGTGTCCTCTCATCAGACATGGAAAACTCACCTACCTCATAGGGGGTTGTATGAATTCAGGGAGACGGTGCGTGTGTCACGTACTTAACGGGGCAGGGATGCTTAGTAAGCAGTTTCCTATCGGAATCACTATTCCAGCTTGCTGGGCCACTTTCCCCCTCAGTACAATGAGGAGTGGAAATGTCATTGTCAAAGGGCCTCTCTCCCTGTCACCCCAAGTCCCACTGCTGCTTGTGTCTTCCTGTTGCTGGGTCAGGAGGCAGGGGATGCAGCCCCCTCTTTCAGGCCCTCACCTGGTCCCTCTGGACACCTTCCTCCTACCTCCCTGGTTTTTGGACCCCTCACAGCTTCACTGTTTGCCTTAGGGATATGTTTTTGGCATTGCTGTTTTACAAGTTTCTCCCACTCTTGCAGACTTCTGGGGTGTGTTTGCATACTCCAAATATACTAATAGTTGTTTCCCATAGAAAGTGGATGATTGTTCATGTCTCAGCAATGCTTTCTTTTTTTTTTTTTTTCTTTTCCCTTTTTGTCTTTTTTTACTGACCAGTAACGGGATCGCAACCCTTGGTGTCGCACCTGTACTGGGGACCGGCAACGGGATTGCAACCTTCGGTGTTGCGCCCGCACCGCGCTCAGCCAGTGAGCGGAAACCGGTCTCCACATGGGATCCGNAGGATTGCAACCTTCGGTGTTGTGCCCGCACCGCGCTCAGCCAGTGAGCGGAAACCGGTCTCCACATGGGATCCGAACCCTCGGTGGGAGCGCCGCCGCACTCCCAAGCGGCGCACTCTCTAGTGCGCCACCGGGCCGGCCCAGCAATGCTTTCAAACAGGCTCTTCCCTCTTAGACGTCTATCTGCAGACTTGCTTTTCAGAGCTTTTAGTTCTTGTCATCTCTGGTACCCTACAGAACTGTGGTCAAATGTCACAAGGCTGCACTTTCTCTAGAGCCAGTAATGCCAAGCCCCTAGACGTCTGCTGCATTAGTCCCTTTCTGTTGCATATAACAGAATGCCCCAAACTGGGTAATTTATAAAGAAATAGAATCTATTTCTTACAGTTCAGAGGTAGGGAAGTCCACAGTCCAGTAGGCGTATCTGGTGAGGGCCTTGTTCTTAGTGGGAACTCTATAGGGCCCCATGGCAATCAGGGTGTCACATGGTAAGAATTGCAAGAGCAAGAGAAAGCTGATCTTCTTACTCATTCTCCTTATAATGCCATCACAACCATGCCCATGACCACCCATTAAGCCATCGATGGATTAGTTCATTCACAAGGGTACAGTCCTCACAATCTAATCACCTCTTCAAGGCCCCCATCCTTCAATGATCATAATAGGATTTCCCACACTCTTAACACTGTTACAATGGAGACTGAGTTTCCAGTGAGTTTTGGGGGAACAGTCAATCCACAGCATCTGCACAAGGGCTGGTCCATCAAGGTTGGCCACATGCAGGATGCAGGGGGCTTATGCCCTTTTTGTGGACAAGGAAGCGATGCTCATGGAAGGTAGGTGACAAGTGACTTTTCTGACACTACAGAACTAGTCAGTTTGGAAGTGAGGCAAATCCATCATCCCTTCCTCCTCACATACTGTGCTCCCTATTGAAGAGACTGTCCTGTTCAACTCTTGAAAGAAAAGAAAATCAGGTTCTAAGGAGCGTGTGTTGCATAATCCTGTTTTGAATGGAAAGAAAACTATAAGCGAACCCAAAGGTCATCCCAGAGGGCCACCTGCCTTCTCAGTGACGGCAGTCCCAGTCCATTTTATCGTATTATTTGTATTTTCTCACTTTTCTCTGACAACTTATTGTGCAGAGGTAACATTTAGTTTTTTAGGACGTAAAACTATCGTGCTAATTTGAAAATAAACTAAGCTGCCTATGAAAAGTGGATGAACCTCTTGAAGGTGATGCTGAACAGCTGCATGCAGACATGCAAGAGG